GTCTGCAGACAGTTTTTCCAGGTCATGTGGCCAGCATGACTAAGCCGCTTCTGGCGAACCAGAGCAATGCACGGAAATGCCATTTACCTTCATGCCAGAGTGGTACCTATTTATCTATTTGCACTTTGACGTACTTTCAAACTGCTAGGTTGGCAGGAGCAGGGACCGAGCAATGGGAGCTCACCCCGTTGTGGGGATTCAAACCGCAGACCTTCTGATTGGCAAGCCCAAGGCTCAGTGGTTTACACCACAACGCCACCCGTGTCCAATTCCTTAGGCAATGGCTATAGTTGTCCAGTTAAATTAGTTTCCACCCTACAGGCATCCCCATCTGCTGATTTTAATTTAAGGTCTAAATAAAAGTGGCCCAGTTCGACCCCAGCTTATGTGTCTGCCTCTTTATTTGCCTTTCAAGACACATGTATTTGTTTATTTTTTTCTGAGCTGGCCAAGATGCTATTATTGTAGACTTTTGGAGGCTCATTTATGGGAGTGAGGGGTTTGTGTTGGTGTTATTAAAATATTGTGTAAATAGGTATGGTATGAATTGGCATCATCTCCCAATATTAACACTGTAGATCACACAGCTTATATTTCTGTATCTGTTCTGATCTGAAAACAGGCTATATGCCAAAAATGTTCGGTTGCTTCAAAATATCAGATAAGTAGTTTTTAGAATGATCATCCACAATTATTCTAGTTAGATGCTTTCAAACTAGCCTGCACTGCTGGCTGGCTTATATGATTACTTGTTGACAGGTTTTCATAGTTTATTCAGTCATTCATTACTTACTTTATTTGATCCTGAGCACTTTTGTTCTTTTGATGTCTCCAGTTGGAAAAAAATTCGCTTGCTACTGATTTGCTGTTACCAACCATAACATTATATTTCATTACATTTTTGAAAATTAGGACTTGGCTTTACATGAAAGGAATAGATTGCCATTTTAAGCACGATTGCTTTAAGATTGAAGGGTAATACAGTATAACATTGTTTAAGTGGAGTTTTCCAGATAGGAGCTATCTTTATTTTGATCATGTTTTATGTCCCTTAGTGCTCATCTTCATGCTTTATGAGTCCTGTTGTGCTCCTGAATTGTAACATAATTCTACTGCAAGCAAATTTCATTTCCCATAGATGCTGACAAATGGAGGCTCCATTATAACTGAGTTCTTCAAACTTTAACTGGTATGAGCACAGTGGTAGTTAATCTTATTAGTGTGCATTGGATCCAGATGACTCCTGAATCAACGTGAGAGCCAGTGTGGTGTAGTGGTTAAGAGAGGTAGACTCATAATCTGGTGAACCGGGTTCGCGTCTCCACTCCTCCACATGCAGCTGCTGGGTGACCTTGGGCCAGTCATACTTCTTTGAAGTCTCTCAGCCCCACTCACCTCACAGAGTGTTTGTTGTGGGGGAGGAAGGGAAAGGAGAATGTTAGCCGCTTTGAGACTCCTTAAAGGGAGTGAAAGGTGGGATATCAAATCCAAACTCTTCTTCTTCTTTTCCAAAAGCAGGATTTCTCTGAAATACCTTAATTGAAGTGAGAACTTTTGAAGCATATTAGGATTCTTTTGAGATTTGGATGTTGTTGTTGTTTTTAAAAACCCCCACTGTAGACAGTGTGCCACCAAAAATTGAAATATTTCTCTCCAGTTTTGCCATATAAAGAAAATGGCAAAGAGATAGTGTGGGGCCTTCTTTGCTGACAGGTCTAATCAGCAGGATTGCTAGTGCTCTCCAATCACATTGCTTTGAGGAAAGGATGTTGAAGTAATGCCTTTTACCCTGTGTTTTTTTTTCTATAAAAAAATGTTTAGGGGTACTCTCATTTTCCTACTCATATTGAAATACTGCCCCTCAGCGAAGCTAAACTTAGATTCACAAAATGTTTAGGGGTATGCATACCTCTGGGTCCCCCAGGAAAAAAAGCACCACTTATACCAGTGCTGTATCAGGTTTGCACTTAATGTCAGTTACTTTGGATGCCAGAACACAACATAAAATTCAACCATGAATCACCATAGTTTGGGAGAAACAATCCTATTGAAAATCATCCACATAGATTTTATAATATTTCAGTAAAATAATATGTCATATTTTACCCTAGAACCGAATTAATACTTTTTTTAACTCATTATTTTGTAACTTTAAAAACCTTATACTCATATGTTTAAAACATTTTCGATATTGCGGGTGCATGTTTTCTTCATTAACAGCCCAATCCTGTATATGACCATGCCAAAGTAAGTACCATTGCGTTCAATGCTGTATGCTCCTAGGAGGCAATCCTATGCACACACACCTGGGATTAGTCCCACCAAACTCAATTACTTCAGACTAGATGTGTATAGGACTCTACTGTAAAGTTTGAAAATTTCAGTATTTTATGTTTTAGTTTCGGAAAGCAATGACAGTTTGATGATCTGTCAAATATCTAGTTCAGAGGGGTGACATTTATACAGAACTATATCTATAGTCAACAAAACCAAACAAGAATTTCTATTTTTAATGTGGTGGTTCTCCTTATTAAAATGCCATAGACTAGATGAACCACATCCCTATAATTAAACTATTGAAGGAAAGTATAAATGCATACATCAGAGATGCCTCAATGCTGTCAGTAACACAAATGATTTCTTAAGTAACTGTTGAAAAAAGTTAAAGAAGAAAATATAATAAGCGCACCATGAGTCCATCAGAGCTGAATGTCATGATCAAAAAAGCTGGAGGAGAAATAAGGGGATATATATCTGCAGATCATGCACCCTTACTAATGACTAGATGTATGATATTAAACGACATGGTATTTATCATTATACAAAAGCAATGAGTCAAAGGTTTTCTGCAACTGCTGTAATTTTCATCAACATGATGCCCAAAGATTCCAAAAAGAAATGATAATAAAACAGTCTGTACTCAGAAACAGCCAAGAGATGTGTGGCAAGATTGGAGGGCAGTGAGGGTGGAAACCGGGGGTATTCCTGAGGCCCTCTTTTCACATAAGCCCCATTCAGGCATGGAAATGTATTGCAGAAAGAGGGGGGCACATATACTAGCCCTTCTGTCAACATTCCTCGCCCCTCTGTCTGCAGGCTCAGACATTTGCACATTGGGCAAAGGGTCTGAAGGTGTATTCCTCTGCATTTAGCTGAACACATTTAGAATCCTCCCAGTGATATGGCGCTCCGATCATGTAGGATTCTGATCACGGGGAGATGTCTAAATGCATGCACCTGCACACACACAGAATCTCCTCTTAGAACTTCCTATTCAGTGCAGGAAGGTCAATGGTGGAGGCCAGCACACATGGGCACATCATGGCCAGTGCATGCTCCTCTGTACCTCCTACACATTTTGTCCACTCACTATATATCTTATTTGAATGCCTGGATAAAGCTATGGTTTCATCAGTTTCACCTGTTTTCTCCATTGTTATATGTGTGTTCTTTCCTACTCAGAATTGACCAGGTCTTATCTGATGTCATTCTTCTGTCTCATCTTTATCCAAAGGAAGTCCTTGATCTTTCCCCCTTACCTACATGGCTTACAAGCCCTGATTTCTTCCACCCATTCCATGTTATCATAGTGTTTTTTCCATACTGTGTCTTGTCGCTTGTACCTGACATCATTTTTAGTTGATGTCACCCCACATCTCATTTTCATATCTGCTCTAGAGAGAGGAATCTTTCTCTCGTCTTTGGACGATGGCTTTAATTCACCAAGGGTACTCTGAAACAAATTTCATTTCTTCTGGAGCAAAAGTCAAAAGTGATACTTTAAATCATAATTAACTATTATCTGTGTGGGAATAAAAAGTATGAATGACAGCTATGAAAATTTCTATTGCCTTTGAGAGCTTATTCCATAAATCACAGCTATACGAATGAAACAAATTTATATTAGTTGGAAAAAATATTCCATTCATTCTCATACAAGAATCCTCAAGCCACATGCCTCTCTGGAGTAAATTCACTAGTTTCTGTCAGGTCACCCTGGGATATGTGAAATATAATAGCTTACATTGCTTACAAAGTCAGAATTTCCATCTAGGAGAAATGGCTCTCTTATAAAATTGCATGTCTATTACAATGTTACAAAAATATGTGACAACAGATATATGAAAATAGTAAAATACAATGTATAATCATACTGCTTACAAAACACAATGGTAGAATAGCAATTAAGTTTCCAAGCCACACACTTTAACATAAGAAAATGTCAATATTTATAGTTGGCATTACCAGCTCTGCATCCATTCAGCACTGCAGAAAACACAGTGAGGGATCATGTAATTAATAACATTATCCACTGCAGTGGGTGTGTTTAGTCCTTCCAGTTACCTAGAGGCAGCCCTAATAGCAAGCTACATAAGAAGCTGCTTTCTATAGGAATGGGCAGCTAATTGTGAAAGGTGATGCCAAAGGGCAAGGTTTAAATATAGCCATTTGTGAATGAATGTGACTGGAATATCTTGTTGTCTTTTCTGATCATGAATGTGACAAACATATTTCACTGTTTTATATGTAGGAAGTTAAATGTTCATGGTGACACTTGTCACCTGCTGTGGGATTTGCACTGGCTACCAATTAGTTTCCAGGCTCATTTCAAAATGCTGATCTTAACCTTTCAAGGTGTTAATGGTTTATACTAGGACCTGGGTACTTTAGGAACTCTCCCCTCCCCCTCCCTACATGCTCCAATCATCATCTGGCACCCTCTTCCAAATCTTTTGAACTTTGGAAGCAAGGATAGCATCAGCTAGGGTTAGGACCTTTCATGCTGTGAGTTGCTGAGTTAAGTTCACCAGACCTAATCACTATACTGCTTCAGATAACTGGGGAAGACCTAGCTTTTTTCAAAAGAACTTTGGTCAATTTCAGTAATTTTTGCTGACTTTCTTCTGTTATATTTATGTGGCTGACATTTCTTAAACAGTTCTAGTTACAGGTAGGTAGCCGTGTTGGTCTGCTGTAGTCGAAACAAAATAAAAAAATTCCTTCCAGTAGCACCTTAGAGACCAACTAAGTTTGTTATTGGTATGAGCTTTTGTGTGCATCTGAAGAAGTGTGCATGCACATGAAAGCTCATACCAATATCAAACTTAGTTGGTCTCTAAGGTGCTACTGGAAGTATTTTTTTTAATTTTATTTCTTAAACAGATACTGTTAACTGATTAGTCTGAATATATGGGGGACAGTTAGGGATTGTGTTTGCTTTTTGTTAGCTGTCTTGAGCCCCTTTGGAGAAAGAGGTGGGATATACATTAAAAAACAAATAAAGATAGAAGTAAACAAAATGTACCTTGATGTTATTGTTTGTTTAGTGGTATCTTTTACTTCCATGGCATCTGACACCTAGCAACCACAAAGCATAGGTGATACTCTTCCATACAAGCATATCGCCATCTGGTCCAGTAATAGATATTAAGATAAGAACCTGGGATACTTTGCATGCAAAACAGGTTCTGTACCACTAAGCTATGGACTGTTCTATAACTGTCTATGTTTAATCTGTGATCGCTAATAACCACTGAAATGTACATGAAGGAAAAGAGAATATGAGTCAACATTGGAGTATAACAAGGACCTCCAGATTTTCTATTGCTTGCTGTTGTCCCTGATCAACAGTCCTGTCCCTTGTCCTAGGCCCCACCTCTTCATATTTCCAGCATCACTGAATACCTTGAAAACATTTTCACTCGCCTGGAGTATTTATTTCTTCTTCTTTTGGAAGTCTGACAATCTTACCTGCCTTGCACAGGAGTATGCCAGAAGCAACATGGGTTCTGCTGCTACTGATTCTTCTAGTTCTTTTGGTTGTCAAATGATGGGAGAAAGCAAAGCAGCAAAAATAAAAATATATTTCCATCTGATTTTGACTATATTTCAGCCTGTATTTTGAATTACCATGCTAAAATTATTGAGATCTCTATACTAGACAGCTCCAGAACAGAGTGCTAATAAATGGATTCCCTGTCCAGCCAAATAACGAAGAGTCAAGTGTTCAAAGAATAAAAATACTTAGGACATTTATGACTATTCACATAAGTATGGCTATTACCCACAAGCTTTACTGTTTTTGCAAGACTAGTTTTTCGAGATTAGTGTAAGGCAAATCATTGTTTCTTTCATTTCTGGCCAAGTTGCTCTGGAATAATTGCTATGTGCACATATAGCCTACTCTGCAACAACATCCATGTTACCAAATGATAAAGAGATTAGGTGACACAATCTAAAATACAAAGGGCAACATGAAATGAGTGTAGCAAGCACTTTTCAGGCCTGTCTGACTGGAAGGTCAATATGTCTACAGCAATAAAAATAACATATTGTGGGGCATTATAGAAGGTGTGTTGTCATGTCATCTTCTTTTCATGCAGTTGAAGGGTCACTGATCCCACTATGGAAGGAGGGCTAAGTCATCGCTGACAATTTTATATAAGACTGACTGACAGGACACATGCTGCTAGGAATCCCATCTGGTGTCAAAAGTCCAGCAGAAATCCAAACCACTTTTCAACTATCATTTTGCAGCTAGGTGAGAAAGCTAAAGCTGTAGGCAATTTTCATGAAAACTGACATCCGATACACAATGAAAGATAACGGAAGGGAAGAACAGTCACTACTAATAGCCCTGCTAAGGTGATAGGTCTGAATCACTTCTAAGGTGCTGACCCTATGCATATTTGCACAGGGGGAAACGGCTCTGAAATATGCTTAGGATCAGCACCACTTTAGTGCACCCTTAATGTGCCTGGCCAGATTAAATTTATGTTACTGGCTTTGGTGACTTCAACCAGTTTGCTGATGCTGTTAGACAAAATAATGTATCACAACATGTGCTGTTTAGGAAATGAGGAGAAGCAGCACGACATTTGATAATTTTGCCTGTGTGTGCTATGTTGTGATCATGTGCATTTTTATTTTATTTCAGTGCTTATTATATAGTTTTAAATAGGCTGAATGAAACTATTCATAGGTGTTTTTCAAATATTTTTGGTGACACTAAGAACTACCGACTTTTAGGAACAACTTGTTTTAGCCTTATGGAAATCCTCACTGATTTAAAGCATTTGATGGCTCAGTCCCCAGACTTGGTCTGGGACTAGAAAGGAAGCACCCACCCCTTGAGACATCATTTCCTGCTAGCCCTGCCTGTCAACTGGAGGAGGTCTTTCCTGTGTTTGCTTTTTATGACGATTCAGTATTTCTTTATAATAAAATACAGACTATAATGTCATATTAAAGAAGACTTAAAATGACTTAGCAAAGGTTAAAGTGAACAGGTGCCATGAGAAGTAGCTATTTCATATGATCACAAGTTTTATAGTGTTGTGGAGGTGGGGATGTAAGCAAGGCTGATCTGCATTCAATCTATTGGTAATTACACTGACCTGTAATCAGTTTTATTTGTACCTGCAAAGTTTATTCAGGGAGAATGCAGCTGCTCAAGGAACTAGTTTATTTTTGTAATGAATGGATCATCATTATAGTCTAGTCATGTAGCCACTGGCTGGTTGGAGACAAAAGAATTAAGTTTATTTAAAAAATAAGAACATAAAACAAGGATTTGTCATGTATGCATGCTTTCTAAAGGAAGGACTGATTGATTTTATACTTTATCTTGTGAAAGTGATTGGCTGAATTCAATGCAATTTGTTAAAAATGAATCACATAACATTAAATGACAAATTGAAATACCCTTAAGGTTGAAATTGCTGTAGGCACATCTCTACCAAGAAAGTTCAGTTAGGTCAGCGGAAAATTCAGTCTGCCCTAGGCCCACAATGTGATGGAAATAGGAAGATCACTGTACCAGTGGAGAGAAAAGATATTAAAGCAATATATAATGCAATATAACCACAGAAATATAAATTTTCAAATTGCTAACTGATTGCAAAGAAAGTATCATTGATATAAGAGGAAACAGTTGCTGCTTGATGACCTTCTTGTTGCACATATGAGTTAATGAAGCAAACTATATGGAGCATGTTCCATTTAACCTTCTATTTTAACATATTGGTGATGAAAAGGTGGAAGAGAAATGCACCATCATATTACATGGGGAGAGATTGGGAATCTTGCAAATATTATTTTGTACTCCTTGCTTTTACTGCCAAATTTTTAAAAGGAACAAAACAAAAGCAACAAACCCAGCCTCAGAGACAAGCAATGCCATCCCTGAAAAATGGAACTACTACCAACAGGTCAGTTTGATATCTTTTTTATAGCAAAGAAAAATAACATTCATAACTGTAAACAATTTAGAGTTCTAAACACCTTCTAGTTGTGATATGTTCAATTCACTATTTTCCCTCCTCCTGTAACTATGAGATTGCAAAAGGTCCCCTAAATCTATTCAGTGTTGTGTTCAGAGTCATAGGCCAGATTCTCTTTCTGTAACTTTAGGAGGATCTTACTATGTGCTGTAAATAAACCCAGAACAGCTACTAGGTGAATTTTGCTTTCCAAATAAAGAGTCCTACAGACTTCAGTGAAAATTAGATCTGGGCTCACATCAGAAAATTTGAGTTAAGAAAAACAGCTTAAAATAAGATCCAAGAACCAGGATTTTCATCAAAAGGAGCTGTCTTAATTTATCAATAGTAAGCTTCTGAGCTATGAAAGTTGGACTTCATGAAGAAATGTATGCCAAAAATTGCAGATGCCCCACTTAAACTAGTCATACCTTCAAGTATAAACAGGCTTAATTCTACGGGTTAATATTGCTCTGTGAAGATGCATACAGGCAAGCAGATGCTATCTAACTCTAAAAAGTCCCATCCATTGAAGGTACACGCTGGGATGAGACAATTAAAGACTACATTAAACTACTTTAAGGTTTTTGGTTTCAGTACCCATATGTGTGACAGCTCAGTTCTGTCCTGATATATGGTTGGATCCAGACTTAATCATGCTTAGAATAGAGTCACTGAAATCAATGTGCCTATTCCAAGCATGATTAAGTCTTGAGCCAACTCATAATATACAGTCCTGCAATTAAATAGTGTCAATCATAAAGTAAATGATAATAGAATATACTCGTTCTTCCATTTTTAATCTATTTTATGTTGTATTATTGCTGTTGTTTAGAGTCTAGTATCTGGATTGACTCATTTAAGGAAAAAATAGGTCCTATAGACTTTGGGACATACATAGCAGGAGTGTCTTCCTCTCTACAGACATTTCTGTGAGTTATCTAGCACACTTTGTGTGGCAACCTGATGAAGGGCCTTCTCAGTGGTAGAGCCTCAGGCATGGAACTTGTTCCCTTCTGAGATATGTCAGGCAGGACGGGGGCACCACAATGACTACCCCTGATGTAATAGATGCTGTTTTAGATGCATTGGCAGAAACTACTGTTTTTACCATTGCATCTAAAATCCATAGGCTGTATCAAAAGAGACAGACTGCGATCCAGTGAATTTAGCAGACAAGACCAGTAGCTGGTGAAGAAGGCAGCTATACTCATTTGTGAGAAAGGCTTTGGGAGTAAACCTTGAGGAAAAATCCATACCTGATGCCTTGTGGGACATTTTTGGGAGCAGGAAAGGTCCCACACAAATATGGAGTAGAGTCCCTAAGACAGTTGGATGGTCTTGTATACCTCATTCTGGCAACTCCTGCAGCCAAGCTGGTGCCAAACATATTCCTCTGCTATCCTTTGGACCACATCAGTGAGGCTGATAGGGGGGTCTTGTTGTCTGGGCAGCCCAGGACCTCCACGCTGCCCAGGCTTGTGCCCCAGGGAAGTCACTTTGGGACTGCTCAAACAGCAAAAACAATGTGGGAGGCAGCAGTTACCAGTCTCTGCAGCCACAGCAGCCACTGTGAATCTCTAGTGGTTTGACTTCACTGCCAGAGGTGTACTCCATTGTCTCTAGAGGCAGACAGATACCAACAATACTGTCATTCTTCTGATGACACACAACAATTAAATCTCTTAAGAGACTTCTTATTGCGGTGGGACTAAAGTTTCTCTTTCTGATGCAGATAGGAGCTTTTGCATCTTTAAAAAAGCAAGATTGCACTAATTATAATTTTATAATTTCCACATTAGCTAATATAAGTAAATCTATTAATATATATTGCTTTACTTTAGGGCTCTTGAAAACAAAGTGTATACTAACT